AACGCAATTCTAATTTTTAACAAAAATAATTCTGAAAGGTAAATATTTCAAAATCAATGTAATCTACCTAAATTAAATTACAGATTCAAACACCCCCAAAAAAAAAAAAAAAAAGAAAGAAGGAAAAAATCGTTATGTTGCCTTCAAAAGGAGAGGAGCTTTCTTAGCAAACTTTGAACTGTCCAAGCTCTTTTTATGGTAGAAGATGAAGCTAAAATGCTAAAATTAAGCTCATAAATCATTTTTAACTACTAGCTATGGCGCTTGCGCGGAGTTAATGGCTGGAGTTTTTCATTTTCTATGGAGTCTTTCAGAGTTCCTTCCTCTATAAGACTTTTCAATAAGAAGTACGAAGGACGTCAGATGATTGCACAATTCCAAAAAGAAATAAAGGAACGGGCTATTCTAAGTTTCCGGTAACTCACCTAAAGTGATGGTGACGTGGAAAAGCCATTAAGTGGGTGTTCGTTGGCGAGTGCTGGTGGCGATTGCCCGTAGCATTCCTCTTATAATAATTATTGGATTAGTGCAAAACACAGCACTTCATTCTAATTTATTGCAGTTTACTAAATTAGTGGTGGCTTGGTGGGGTGATGTTTGGTGTGAGAGCCAAAGAGGCAAAGAGCGTGATATGTTTCCCTTTTTTCATGAATAAAATTTGACAGCTTTGAACCTCTTTTTGAACCTCTTTAGTATCTCTTTTTGTTTTTTGGGTAAAACGTCTTGAATATCTCAGAACGAGGATATATTGTGTTCCACATTTTTGCGAGCACAGTCATATGATTGTGGGCAAAAATCCACAGATTGCCCTTTAAATTTTAAGTGTGTGAAACTTTACCTTCACTTTATAATATGTAATTTTATATTTTCCTGATATGATTTTACATTCTTGTGGTATTTGAGTGTGTGGAACTTTATCTTCACCTTATAATATGTAATTTTATATTTTCTTGATATGATTTTACATCCTTGTGGTATTTGAGTGTGTAGAACTTTACCTACCACCTTACAACTTTAGGAGGGTATGATATTATAAACTTGAATATCATGAGAGTATAAAATCATAAACTCGAATATCAGGAGGACATAAAAATCACAACTTTAGGAGAGTATATGACATCATAAACTCAAATATCGTAAGGGTATAAAATTATAAACTCAAATATCATGAGTGTATAAAATTATAAACTCAACTATCAAAAAGGTATAAAATTATAAACTTGAATATCAGAAGGGTATAAAATCACATATTGTAAAGTGAAGGGTAAAATTCCATACACCAAAAAAATTGAAGAGCAATATGTGAGTTTTTGCCTATTTTGTAGTTGTTTCTAACTGCAAGACTTTTTGTGCAGGATTCCCCAAGCTTGTCTAGGGAGGGAAACGTTGGCGCCGTTTTGTTATTCATCTTCATTACCCATTAGGTATGGTTATTTAGAGCTTGTTTGATACAACAATTAAAGTGTAGCATATAATAAATAATATATAGTTGTTAGCAATAGCAATAGTAAATGGTAAGCAATAGTTAATAGATAATTGGGGTTAAGGATTGTAAGTAATGGATGCTAATTAAACAGTTATTATTTGGTATTAAATAATTAATAAGTGTATATTTAAAAATAATTATGTTATTTTTTCTTTTTATAGTTTCTATTACCAAAATAATTAAATTTTATAACATAATAATGATAATAACAAAATAAATAAATAAAATATACATTTGTAAACCACACACTCTTTTTTATTTTTAATAAAAAAAATTTCATTATTTTAAAAAAAAGGCAAAGCAAACGTTCAATAATTTCATTGATTGTTAAGTTATATAAAATTTTTATGATAAGTTAATATAGAAATTAAAAATATAATAATTAATTAATATTATCGAAGAGAAAAAAAAAAAGTTTAATTGACTTAGTTTGACAACATGATCTAGTGATGCTTTATAATTATAATTGTAGACATTAAAAATTTTGTTAAGGTTAAAACAAGTTTACCCTAGTAAAATCTTGGAAGTTGGGGTAATAAATCTTTAAAGAGATATTTTCTCTTTAAATTTAAAAATAAATATATTAAATTGACCAAATTATCCTTAAAATGGAGGGTATTTGAGGTCATTTGACAAGGCTCTTTTGCCTATAAATTGGCCATCATTTGATGAAGAAAAAAAAAGGAAAAAGGAAGAATAAGAGAAGAAAAGAAAGAAGGAAGAAGGAGAGAAGAGGAGAGGAACAACAAGTTTCAAGCCCCCCTCAACAATTCTCGAAGTTTCAAGCCCCAACCTCTTGCTAAGGGTAAGCTCCAAATCCATATGTCTAGGAGGAAAAATTTCAAGTGCAAGTCTTAAATTCTTTGAAGGACAAGAACAAGCTTAAGCCCTTGCCCTTCTAAATTCAGCTGTTAATCAGAGGATTGTGTTGTTCTAGGACATGTTACTCTTTAAAACTTGAGCGCATGCACTGCAACACTCCAAATAAGAGATTGTTTCCCATTTTCCTTCAAATTCATTGCAATTTGTATTTATTTTGCAAATCAATATATATTATTTGATTTTTGTAGATTTTGTTACTACACATCTTTGGCGACTCCACTAAGGACATCTCTGCCTCTCATCTTTCTGTTGAAGAAAAATTCCACCATATCCTTCCAAGCATGGTGGACTCAAAGCAAGCTGTAACTCCTCTTGCAACTCGAAAAGTTCAAATCTTTCCCAATTAATCCTCTTTGTTGACTCATGCCAAAGCGCGCATGATAAGATCTAAGTTGGTGTCCCCCCTGTGGCAATTCATTAGAAGACGCCGTAAGGAGGCTGTAATGAAAAAATGATCATTAGCCATCCAGTCGCCTTTCCAACTTGCGAAGGATGTCGAGTACTTTTCCTCAGAATCTAGTGAAGGTGAAGAAATTAGTCTCAAGCCTAGTCATGTGCTTGCTTCAAAGTTAAGATGGGCTGATTGTCCCTCTTCATCATCTGAATTCCTCCTACTTGCGTTGGTTACTGAAGCAACATTTGGTGACTCGGATACTTTCCTCAAGGCTGTGGAAGGCTTAAGGAAAATAATGGCTAAAAAGGATGCCCAAATCAAGGAACTCTGAGAACGCTTGGTAGCTTAACACTTGTCAAACCAAAATAACTAAGTAGCATCAAGCTCAGCCGTTGAAAAAACCCTCGAAAGCAAGGAAGACCCATTAACGACTTCAAATTGGGGTAAGTAAGTTACCATAGTGGAAAGCTTGGAGCAATAGAAGCAATAGCAACTAGATTGAACAGCTCTTCAAAATGCTTTTCGTGACACTACTCAAGCTACTGTGGCATCTCTTACCTTTCCACAACTTAAACTTTTAGTTGATGATGTCATTCAAGCTCAGCAAGGTGGGACCTCACAATCCTCACTTATGTATGCCAAGCCTTATACTCGCAGGTTGATAATCTAAGTCTACTAGATGGTTATTAGCCACCAAAATTCCAAAAGTTCAATGGGAAGGGCAACCCAAGACAACACATGGCCCATTTTGTTGAAACATGCAACAATGTAGGCACCTACGGAGACCTCATGGTGAAACAGTTTGCCCAGTCTTTCGAGGATGCAGCCTTTGAATGGTATATTGACCTTCCTACTGGGTCGATGGACAGTTGGGACCAGCTAGAGCAGGAATTCTTGACACGTTTTTATAATACCAAGTGTACTGGTAGCCTGTCGAGCTTGTTAACACCAAGCAAAAGAAAGATGAGTCTGTGACAGACTTCATTGAAAGATTGAGGAATCTAGTCCTAAATTGTCGAGAAAAGATTAGTGAGACTTCTTCTATTGATATGTATGTGCAGCATATGCATTGGGAACTATTGTATAACCTTCAAGCTAACATGCCACATACCTTTGAAGAGTTGGCCACTTGTGCCCATGACTTGGAAATTCAAATTGCTAGGCATGGTAACTTTCTTCCAATGGACGCTCGTGATAAAAAAGAGTCTAAAAAAGATGTGAAAAAGAAGGTGAAGCCTTCAAAAGCAAAATAAAGTATGGCAGTCACAACATCACCTGTGAAGATCTCACAACAAAAGCCAAACCCAAATCCTAAACAAGGTGTCAAGGTTGTTGAGGATTAGGGCCAAAAGAAGAAGTCCACATTGAAGGAGTTGCAGCAAAAGGAGTATCCATTTGCAGACTCTGAAGTGTCGGCTATCTTTGAGCAATTGTTGACACTTAACCTAATTGAACTTCCAGCTCCTAAGTGCCTAGAGGAAGTCGGGAGAGTGAATGATCTGAAATACTGTAAGTATCATCGAATTGTGAGTCATCTAATTGGTAAGTGTTTTGTGTTGAAAAATCTGATAGTTCGTCTTGAGAAAGAAGGCAACATACAACTAGAAAGTGAAGAAGGTTCTACTGCCACCAATGTTGCCATGGTTTCCTTTGGATCTTTCAGTCCAGTTCCATTCTTGCCTGTGCAACCAACCCCACTGATGGTTCAGCCTAAGGAGTTTGGTCCCCACTTGCCCAAGGGGCAATTCAAGTTAAATTTCAAACAGATGATAAAGAGAAGATAGCCTATGCTTATCCTAGCATGCCTACTTCCATGAGGTCTAGGCTCTTTTTCCTTATATGACCTTATGACAGTGAATCTTGAAGGTTGGGAATCATCATTTGAGTCTGAAGATGAGGTTGGCGATGGTTGGTCAACCTTCATTAGTAAGAGCAAAAAACACCGTAATCCAGTATCTAGTAGAATGCCACTCCCAAATCCTCATAGTGTCATGTATGTTATCTATCCAGAGATAAAATTGATTGGATAGTGTTCAAACTTTGAGTTTCTTGCCCTTTACAATGATGATGATGGGTGGATTCCAGTTCAATCGTGAAGGTGGAGGCATCGTTCAAGACCCACACTGCCAGCCATACAACAAAATCATTCATTGATTTCAGCTTTGCCAACTGCACCAAAAAATCAAGAACAATGTTAGGTAGTGAAAAAGAGGTCTGACTAGCAAACAAGACGTCGACAAGTTCCTAAGAAAGGAAAATCACTATTTGAGAAAGATGTGAACTCAAAAGAAAGAGCTATAGTTACTCTTTATGAATACTTTCCAAAAGGATATTTTTCTGATGAGGTAGTCTCTGCTAATGTCACAAGTTTCAAGATAGAAAATAAACCATCACCTAAAGAAGAAGCAGAGGGTTCCAAAAGCCAATCAAATAATCCCGAAGCTGATGAAAGTGTAGAGAAATTAAAGCAACTTCCTTTTGACTTATAGTTATCTAAAGCTTTGCAGCTTCTATAGGATGCACGCCTTGCTCTTGTACAAGCTATGTTAGACCCAAAAAGGTTCCAAGGCGAGCTTGGCAAGCCAGAAACTAAGGCTGAGTGTTTAGGAATAGTAACCTTCATAGATGAACACTTGCAGCTTGGAGCCCAAAAACATAACAGGCCTCTTTATGTGAGTGGCATTGTTTGAGATCACAAAGTGAATCTAATTTTGATTGATGATGGATCTGTTGTCAACATATTGCCAATTTACACCATGAAGAGGATTGGAGTAATTGTCGATGAATTGACTAACAGTAAACTCATAATCCAAGGCTCTAACTAAAAAGGCCAGCGTGCAATTGGCAAGATCCGCATCAATTTTCAAATGGCAGACATGGCAACCTCAACTTTGTTCCATGTCATTGAGGCTAAAACATCATATGAGCTACTTTTGGGAAAAACATGGATTCATGAAAATGGGGTAGTTCCATCAACTTGGCATCAATGTTTTAAATATTATTTTGATGTCAAAACAAAATGTGTTCTAGCTGAAAAAGAGCCTTTCACTAAAGAAAAGTTTCATTTTGCTAATGCCAAATTTTATGAAAAGAAAGAAGATGATTTTGAAGCTCTTCCTATTAAGATGTCACAAATAAAGCAAAAGAATGAAGGAAAAATCATTGTTTGCCCCATAAAAGATCCATCTTCAAGTTCTGAAGTTCATCTTTTAGTTGAGGATGTGAAGGTGCTCAAAGAAAACTTGTGCTTCCATTGTCCGCACTCTCTAAACTAGGTATTTCTAACCCAATTATAAAAGAGATGGTTGAAACAACCATAGAACATGAAAAGCAACCTCAAGGATGGTTTGATCCACGTGCTTAAATGTTGCTAAAAAGGGCTGGTTTCAAAGAAAGAGAGTCTCAACAACTTGGGGACTTGAACTTTATCCTCATAGGTACTTAAGCAACTCGAACTGGGAAGGAAGCCATATTGAAAGAAGAACCTGCACCAAAGCAAAGGTATGGGCTTGGATTTCAATCATATGAACCTACAAAGATCAAGATAAAAAAAGAAGTCAACCAATCATATAAACATCTAGATTTTTGAAACCAATGAGGTTAAAGGGCTCCACAAGTACGAGTTTCAACTTTAGAAAGGATTTAGCAAGAGAATGTCCGAGTGTCAATTTTTGAAAGACTAGGGCCTACTCCTTCACCATCAACAATCCAAGAGAATCATTCTCAAAAGCCTTCAGTCTTTTCTAGACTTGGTGCTAAGCAGCAAAACAACAAGAAAGTATCTAAGAGTCAAAAGGTTCAAAAGAACAAGAACAAGTATATGCAAAGAAAGAAGTTTCAATGGAGGCGTAAAGACATCTTTGATGAGCAAGGGATCTCAAAGCCTTCCATTGAGAAGGTGAAAGTAGTAGAATCAAACCATGTCTTAATTGGGAAAATTTCTAACTCGGATGATTCTTCAGATGAAGAACCAAATCCAGCCCTAAAAGCTTTTGCAGAAGAGGGATAAGCTACCATTGACGAGTTAAAGTAGTGTAACTTGGGTACAGAGGATGATCCAAGGCCTATTTTTCTCAGTGTATCATTGAGTTTGGAGCAAGAGGCAAGATATGTGCAACTCCTCACCGAGTACAAGGATGTGTTTGCATGGTCTTACAAAGAGATGCCAGGCGTAGACCCTAACGTAGCTGTTCACCATCTAGCCATGAAGCGTGGGGTACGCCTAGTGAAATAGTCTCAACGACATTTCCGTCTAGAGCTTATCCCACAAATTGAAGTTGAGGTTGACAAGTTGATTGAAGCCGGCTTCATTTGAGAGGTCCATTATCCATCTTGGATTGCAAACATTGTTCCAATTCACAAAAAGAATGGACAACTTAAGGTGTGTGTGTAGATTTTCGTGATCTAAACCAAGCATGCCCAAAAGGTGATTTTCCACTCTCAATCATAAAGCTTATGGTGGATGCAACCATGGGGCATGAGGTTTTGTCCTTTATGGATGGGTTCTCAGCATATAACCAAATTTGCATAGATCCCAAGGATGAGGAGCTTACAGTTTTTCGAACACCAAGGGGTATTTACGGTTATAAAATTGTGCCAATTGGGTTGAAAAATGCCGAAGCCACTTATTAGCATGCAATGCAAAAGATTTTTAGTGACATGTTGCATAAGCTAGTTGAATGTTATGTTGATGACTTGGTTGTTAAATCCAAGAGACATGATAACCACCTCAATGACTTAAAATTTGTGTTTGAGAGACTTCGCAAGTACCGGTTGAAAATGAATCCATTAAAATGTGCCTTTGGTGTTTTCTTGGGCAAAGTTTTGGGGTTTATTGTGAGGCATCGGGGCATTGAACTTGATCAATCCAAGATATAAGCAATTGTGAATATGCCACCCCCAAAGAATCTTCGAGAGTTAAAAAGTCTCCAAGGCAAGCTAGCTTACATCTAAAGGTTCATTTCAAACCTTGCTGGATAGTGTCATCCATTTAGCAAGTTAATGAAGAACGATGCACCATTTATATGGGATGAAGCATTGCAAAATGGAAATACTTTCTTCACTCTCTAGTTCTTGTTGCACCCATTCCAGGGAAGCCATTGATCCTTTATCTTGCTGCACAAGAATATTCCTTAGGAGCATTACTGGCACAGGTCAATGAAGGAGGAAAAGAAAATGTTCTCTATTATTTAAGCCATACTCTTGTGGAGGTAGAAGTGAATTATTCACCCATTGAGAAGATTTGCCTTTCCCTGATCTTCTCTACAAAGAAATTGAGACATTATATGTTGGCTCATGTAATACATCTTATTTCAAAAGCAAACCCTGTAAAATACACCATGTCAAAACCATTGCTTTTTGGTAGATTAACAAACTGGACACTATTATCGTCTGAATTTGAAACCATTTATGTGCCGCAAAAGGCGATAAAAGGACAAGTCTTAACTGACTTTCTTGCAGATCATCCAATTTTAGAAGAATGGGAGTCGTCAGAAGGTCTACCAGATGAGGAAGTATTCTTTGTGGATGTATTGCCATCATGGAAGCTCTACTTCGATAGAGCATCAAGAAGAGAGGGTGCTAGGGCTGGCGTGGTGTTGGTAACGCCAAAAAATGGAGTAATACCATTCTTTTTCATTTTAAGAAAACAATGCTCCAATAATGTTGCTGAGTATCAAGCCTTTATTGTGGGCTTGGAGATGGCTCTTGAAATGGAAATTTACCAACTCAATGTTTACGGGGACTCAAGCTTGGTAGTGAATAAACTTATAGAGTTTGATGTTTAAAAACCAGATCTTATCCCATACTTCCAATATGCCTCTCAACTCCTTGAGAAATTTGATCATGTCTCAATTGCCCATGTTCCTAGAAGTCGAAATAGGCAAGCAGATGCTTTGGCTAATTTAGCTGCTATCATTGCAAGTCCTGATAATGAAGAAGTCATTGTTTGTGTCCCAATGGTGGATTTCACCTTAATGGACATCTGAAGATGTAGAAAGTAATGTTGTTTCAATCTTTGTCATTGAGAAAGATGATTGGAGACAACCAATCATCAATTACTTAGAACATGGAAAGCTACTAGATGATCCATGCTAAAAGTCTACAATTCGGAGGAGGGCTTTACGTTTTGTTTACTTTTGTAACACCCTCTATCGGTAATCTTTTGATGGAGTTCTACTTAGATGTTTGGATGGAGATGAATCATCCCAAATGATTGAGGATGCGCATTCTGGAATTTGTGGAGCTCATCAGTCTAGCCCAAAGCTTCACTACCAAATAAGAAGAATGGGATATTATTGTCCAACAATGGTAAAGGATTGCATGTAATACGCGAAGAGATGTGAAGCATGTCAATTTGATGCAAACTTTATATATCAGCTGCCAAAACCTTTACATCCAACAATAGCATCATGGCCCTTTGATGCTTGAGGTTTAGATGTGATTGGACCATAACACCAAAATCTTCAGCTGGGCATGCATATATCTTGGCAGCAACTGATTACTTCTCCAAATGGGTGAAAGTTGTACTTTTGAGAGAAGTTAAGAAGGAAAATGTTGTTGACTTCATTCGAGTCAATATCATCTATCGGTATGGTGTTCCAAGATACAAGATTATAGATAATGGCAAGCCTTTTAGTAATAGTCTCATGGACAAGCTGTGCACAAGGTTCAAGTTTGCCCAGCATTTTTCCTCCATGTATAATGCTGCTGTGAATGGATTGGCAAAAGCTTTTAACAAAACCCTATGCAATCTCCTTAAGAAGGTTGTTTCAAAGTCTAAGCGGGATTGGCATGAAAGAATGGGTGAAGAACTTTGGGCATATCAAACGACTCATCGTACTCCAACAAAAGCAACTCCTTATTCCCTTGTGTGTGGAGTTTAAGTTGTTCTCCCTTTGGAATGCCAAATTCCATCTCTCAGGATTGCCATTCAAGAAGATCTTACTAATGAACAAAATGCCAAGCTCTATCTCCAAGAACTGGAAGCCTTAGATGAGAAAAGACTGGAGACCCAACAACACTTAGAGTGTTATCAAGCCAGATTGTCTAGAGCATTCAACAAGAAGGTCCGAGTAAGGGCATTTCAAGTTGGAGATGTGGTGTTAGTTGTTCGAAGGCCAATTGTCATCACTCGTCATTTAGGGGGCAAGTTCACTTCAAAATGGAATGGTCCTTATGTCATAATAGAAGTTTACAATAATGGTGCCTACAAGATTATTGACAAAGATGGTCTATAGATTGGTCCCATTACTAGAAAGTTCCTCAAGAAGTTAAAAAAAAATATAATGCTCCTAGTCACAAGAGTATAAACGGTATGACCAAAATAACAAAAAAAAAAATGTAATACTCCTAGCCCACAAGAGTATAAACTGTGAATGGCTAAAAAAAAAATCTTTGAACTACGTTTGACTTGATCCCTAAAAAGGATACGTAGGCAGCTTGGTGTTTTTCTAAGTTCAGTCAAATTCTCTAAATAAATTTAAGTTTGCTTTTGATTATGGTTCATTTCATCTCAAGTATTCCAACAAAGGGAGAAATGTCTATGTCAAGCAAAGAAAGCAAAGCAAAGAGAACAACAAAAGGGGAAAAAAATGCATCTTATTTATTCACAAAGTGGTTAAAGCCAAAATTTGACAAGTCCTTGAAACGGAATGCTCAAAGTCTAAAAAAAAAAGAAAGGGAAAGAATACAAAATGAACAACATCACATGTTGTTTTCAACCCAAGTCCCCTTTGTTATAGCTTCAAACTCAGTTTCAAGGTCTTGTCGCATCCTTTCCACTTCAACGGCTATCTCAATAACTATAACTTTAGAGTTTTCCAACTCTATCAATTTTGCTTGGTTGGACTGGAGTTGTTCTTTTGTTTTTTGCCTCTTGTCAAGGAGCAAATCAAGTGTGGAAGTCACATCACTATGTTGTTGCTCAACTGATTCTAGCTCTTTCTTCAAACCTTCAATCTTACTCTCTAAGGATCCCTTATTCTCGGTAAGTTTATTGATTTCCTTTAAAAGAAAGTCATGGACAATCTAATTTGATGATATCCCCTTTCATAAGGTAGCAAGAGATTTATCTCTTTCTTCAACATCCATGCCAATAGAGACCTCATCTCATTTTGCTAAGTAAAGATTTACCTTTGATAGGTAAGCATTCATCATCTTGAGTAAAGGCTCAACATCCATGCGAAAATAAAGTTGAAGTGCTTATGAGATTGCAGAAGATCGCTCTACCCACCATTATCCAAGCCCAGCAAAGCCATTCTACAAGCCTCATGAAAATTCCTCTTGCACATAGTTGCTCATAGCTTTAAAAAGGATGGACTTCACTAGTGCTTGAAAGCTAATTAGTTCCAAAGGCTTTGTGATGCAAGAGAATGTAAGCCTGAGTTTCGGTGGATTAGATAATGTCATGGCAGAAGGATTAAGTCCATCGGTTTCCTTCACAATTGGCTGTCTATCGTGAGAGTTAACTTCCCCATCTTCAGCAGTTACTTGCTCACCAACATTCAAGGATAGAACTCCTCCATCAATTTGGCTTGGAAATGATCCAAATTTCTCAAGAGTGTCTGTCTTGAGAAAATCATCTAAAGCACTAATCATCTCTGTGTCTCCTGGTAGTACTCTTAATTCTGGGGAATTAAATATTTCTGAAAAAAAAGAAAGAAAAAGTCAACAACAAGAGAATTTTAAGACAAAAAAGGAGATTTTGTTTAAAAGGTAAGGAAATATGCTTACCTTCATAGAAAACTTGATTGGTGATTTGTGGGGCAATAGACGTGGAAGGTGACTGTTGCAAAGAGTTTGTCACTCTTTGAGGACTTTTGTTGCATTTCTGCTTCTTTGAAGATGGACTAGGGCGACTAGCATTACTTCGCTTCTATGAGGGAGATAATAGTGCTTGAAGCTGTTTCCCTTTCCTTTGAGGTCTTATCACAATGCTTTTCATTAGGGATGGAATGAAATTTCTAGCCTCGCTAGTCTTCAAGAATTGGATGCTAACTACAAAAATTGAAGGAAAAACTTCTTCATTCCACCACTTCACATAGGCTGGGTTGACCTTAGATGCTACTTCGCCTTTAGTTGAGGGAATATGAAGAAATGTGTTGGTATGCACTTGGATTAAAGATAACCAAAAGCGGTAAAGATATGACACTTCACCACCATGAGGTAATTTGACATGCCTTCCTAGAAGTCTTTGTTGAAATCCATGTTGTCTAGCAAAGCAGTGAGGATTATAAGACTTCTTAGTGAAGCGGCTTTCTTAGTGGAGCACATATAACCTGCTCTGATGCTCACCATGAAATCCAAAGTGTCAGCCTGTCGTTGCCCATCATTAACTCGAGGTCCTAGGTGGGCTGGTAAAGGCACTAGAGTCTAACAAAAGTCGTCTAAGGATAAATCACCTGGTAAAACTACACGACAATCCACTACCTCTGGTTCCCAAGGTTGGTATCATTCAAAACCCCATGAAATTGCCAAACCATAGGCCAAAAAGCTTCATATTTGCCTGCAAAAGTCCTATGGCGGAAATGCAAACCAATCTAGGCATGTAAATAATGTCCAGGAAAAGGAGGAGTTTCAGTTGCATGTATCCATGAACCATCAGGCACTTTTGTCAGTTGTCGAAGACCATGGTAGATGCATGCCAAGATAGGGGAACCAAGTTGTAGGTAACACCGATTGCCATTTGGGCTGCAGCTTTGAAAGTTCCAACTTTGACAAATTCTTCCCCATCTGGAAAAACAAATTTGCCAAGCCAAACACAAAGATAAGTAGCAATCAAAAGTTTTTCTCTATCATTTACCTCCAAAGCAACATCTAACAAGCAAAGTCGATCCCATTGTTTTGGTACGCCCCCTAGTTTCCTCTCATGTCCAAATGTCTACTTCAATGGATGGTCAAGTTTAGGAACTAAAATTACATTCCCATCGCCATCATACTTCAACTCAGACATATCTGGATATCGTTTGCTCTTAAGTGGATTAGCATATGGTGGGTTGCAATTGTACCAAAAGTCAAGCCAATCGGCATATGTTAGACGATCAGAATTCTCTTTTTGGACGATCATGGCAAAGGCTTTAAACAGAAGTAAGCAATAAGGTGGTAAATCCTCTATAAGTTCTTTGTAACTTGGAACCACCTTTTCATAGTAGGCTCCTCGAATTAACAAGCCAGAAATGTCTCACATCTTTAGGAGAGAAATTCAAACTTCTCTTGTAGAAGTTAAAAGGTATTAATACTTGGGGACCATACCTCAATGAGGGCACGAAGCATGCTCGAAAGATAACAATAATCATTATCAGCTAATAACATTGCGTCTACTAGAGCTCCCATCTTGTGACGACTTAGCATCTTGGCTGTTGTTAACACTAAAAAATAATTTAAAAGACCCAATCAATTGGAGTCACCAGGATTTCATTAATGGAAGAAGAAATATAGAGTTTGAGATTCATTCTTTGTTCCCCTTTTGCTACTCCCTGAGGTCTTTTTAACCTCTACCTAGAGATTTTCCCCAAATCCTCATCTAACAAACCCTATCTATAATTTAAATTCAAAATCACAGATAACCTCTAGGAAATCACATGACCCTGATTTTTCTCCAATTTGGAGTTACAGTTGCAACACTTGCCCCCCATCGAGAAGTCAAAGTAAACGATGATTTTTTATACCTTCAATTTTCCTCAATGACATTAGTTGTATATCTTAATGATGTCATCCAAATCCATCAGCTACCCAAGAAAAACAAAATGTAATGCAGAGGTCTCAAATTCAAATTTAATCCAAGAATTAGGATTTGAATTTTTTATGCGGAGCTTTGGGTTTAATAGCTCTGTCTACAGGGGTCTTAAAATTTTACCCACAAAGGTATTTAATAACTCTGCATACAAAGATTTTAGAATCTTTACCTGCAAAGGTATTTGATAACTCTGCACACAAAGTTCTTGAATGACTCCACCTCCGAAGAATTAGATAATGTCAAACAAAGTTTCCAAAAATAATTCCTTGGTCGAAACTTCTAAAAGCAATTCCTTGGTAATCAAACTTCTATCTGCCTAACCTCTTCGTTTCTCCTTTTTTTTTTTTTTCTAACACAGATAACACTCACCACCTAATAAAAATATATCTAATCATAATTAATCAATTTCAATTTCAAATATTCATCTAAATATATTTATTTTTATTAAAGATAATACCCAAACCTAGATAATCACCCACATTGATTCAATCACCAAATTACCTTTTCTTGTCCACCACCCAAACTACTCCTATAAATATATATAGTCATGTCACATTCATTTACCTTTCTCCATCCCCCAATTCGACAGCAAAGGTTAGTCCTTCTGATATCTTTTCTTTTACTTTTTTTTTTTTTGTTGATCGACATCTCCAACTTTCCCTTCCTTTTTTTTTTTTTTAGCCGGCACATTCTATTGCAAATGCATTCTGACTCTTTTTTTTTTTTTACTTAAGAATTTCTTCCTTTTTTTAGGAACATTGCAACGCAGAGTCTTTACACACCCTTCATCCATGGCTTCGGGTGACTAAAGTATTCCTAGACTTTTGCAATTGTTGGTGACTCCTTACAAGGCAACACACCAACCATAGTGGACAACCAATTTGACTTTGAAGTCACCCCTGGGGGATTTTCTGTGGCTTCTCGATCCTCTCGAGCAACAAAATGAAAATTCATCCCTCGGCCTCCATTGTTTGGAATTCCACTCATTCATGATTTTCCTACAAAGAAGAAACAAGTCACGGGATCCAAGAAAAGATTCCTCAAAACCGACCCAATTTCTTGGACTACCAACAAAGCCAGCTCTGAAAAATTTCCAAATTACTCTGCACTACAGCCATTAAAGCTAGAGCCTGCATAGTGTATCACCCCAAGAAACGCACAGCTTTTCAGACTCCTGCTACTGCTATGTGTGTCTATTTAGACCAGATGACTTGTGGGCTATGGCTTCCACTCCATCCTTTTATCATCCAGGTTTGTGATGAATTTTGTGTGGGTCTTCCCCAACTCACTCCACACCTGATAACGGTCCTAATTGCCTTCATTGTGAATTGCCAACTACTAAATGTCCCTTTGAACATTGAGGCATTCACTTTCCTGTTTCAACTCAAACCTCTGGAAGGAACTAGTGCTTGGTACTACATCTACAAGAGACACTTAGAATTTGAAGGTTTTGAAGGCAGTAGAATTAAATATGACAATTCAGTATTACCTACTTCTCTTCCAACCTTAGGGAAAACTGATTGGGAAAAAAGATTTTTCTTCTTGGAGGGCCCAAAGAATTTTAATTTCCCTGCAGTTTGGAGGATTGGTAGGATCAACACCCTAGAAATTCTCCTTAATGCTAAATCATACCTTATCATTAACAAACTCCTTAACAACAATTCTATAAAAGTAGAAGTCTTACTTGATGAAGGCAATCTCATCAGATCTAAAGTTTGGCACCATCACCATGCTTTTTCTACGGTCATTATCCTTAATCTCCCTCCAGACTTTGAGGCTACAAAGAAACCTGAGACTTCCTTTCAAAAGAGCAAAAAAAGGAAAGAAAGCTCTGCAAAAGGTATGTCAGAAATTCTTTGTTGCTCATTCGTCAAATTCTTAAGTCTCAAAAACCATTTCTAATAAGATGTTGTTGCCTATAGGTTCTACCATAATTGCACTTAATTTGCTAGATCACCGTGTGAAAAGAAATAAGAATTCAACTGAGGAAGAAGACTTAGTTGCCATGGAAATTCCTAAAGCTCAAGACTGCTCAAAGTCTTCAATGAGGCAAACAGAACAATCTTCAAATATCCTTCTTGTTTTCCCAAAGACAACAACCTGCACTATAGAATCTAGTTAGAACCAACAAATCTACAGCACCTTGTCAATATGGGATCGATTACAAAAACTCCAAGAGATTGATAGAGAATTATTATCTTCTATCATGGTGTTGGTCATGGGAAAAAATCAAACTAGGAAGTCCATTTTTTCTGAGCTTGATCTTGACTTAAGTATCTTCAAGTCCTTGAACTCTTTTAGCTTTCTCCCGCCCCCCCTTTTTTTTATGCACCCAACAATCCATTCTTCAATGTTTTTAGGATATGATCCGAACATGAGAGGAAGAACAGTGCTTCGAGAAAGCTCATTTGCATACCAGCTATCAAAGAATTTCCTCATAGAGGAAGACAAAAAACACCTGAAAGAATTTATAGAAAAGACACGATGGCATGAAACTAACCATTGCCTCGCAAAGGTATGCAACTTTCTTGTCTTTTTTTTTTTTTATCTTCAATGCTCTAGAGACTTTTGTTCTTAAATTAAATTTTCAATCTCTAGGTTATGGCTTACCACCAAACATTAAAAGAAGATTACCTTAAGAATGAGGATGCCAGCTTTTACGTAAAGGAGGAGACTACAAAGCTCAAGAACTTATTCAGTGATGTTGTCCAGATATGTCTTCGACTTGATGAAGAGAAAAATGCTGCAGTGCAAAGATCTGAGCTCATATCTGTTGAGCTAGAAAATTTTAAGAAGCTTTTTGCGAACTCACATGAAAATTACCTCTCAATTAAGAGAGAGAAAGACGAAATTGAGAAAGTAATGAAAGCTAACCATTCTGCCTTGGAGGAAACAAGGAAAATTGCTCAACTTCTTCAAGATGAAAAAGAGGGTTACTTGCATAAATTAGTTGAGCTCGAACAATTAGTGACAAAGCTTTCATCTCAAAACGCGAGTCTTCAAATGCAGATCACCAATACTTCAACTGACACTATCCATAAATTTAAAAGATTAGAAGAAGGTCAAACTTGGGCTTTGAGTGGTTGCATAGATCATTTTCATCTTGTTGTATCCATCATGAAAACTCTTATACTTGAACGAGACTTGCTAAAAGGTGATCATATTCCAAGTATCCAAGAGTTTAACATTTTTGAGGAAATCAAACAAGACCCAGGTTTGAAGAAAATGTTTGAGGATAGGGTGAAGAAGATCTCCAAAGAATGTTATTCTGAAAATGAAGGAAAAGAATCCAAGGACCAAGAGTGCGATTCCAGCAACCTTGAATATGAGTATTCCTCTCAAGATGAAGCTTTTAGCTCTTAGTTTTATATTATTTTTTAGAATAAATTTATTTCCTTGAAAGCTTTTGAACTTTGGCTTTTCATGTTTTGCCAAAATTTTTACCAACTTACTTTTTTCGAAAGTTGATTTAGCATGACACTTTCTTAAAAGTGTCTTAGTTTTCAATGAGAAAATTGTTATAACTGGTTTTCCTCGAGCCCTGAGCTTAACCAGTTGTTCACAGCTCTTCAACCGTGTTTTCCCAAGATAGACTCCCTAACCTTCAAAACAAAGTTAGAGTTACGAAATTTTGCATAATTAGATAAAATCAGAGAAATTAAGCATGATATTCAAAGTAATATGCAACTCTGGTAAAGGTCTTATTTACAAAATTTATTCAATCTTATTAAAACAAGAAAAAATTACTGATAATACTTCTTTAGATGAGTTGCATTCCAAGCCCTTGGGATTGGAGTTCCACCAGGCTTAACAAGTTGAAAAGCTCCATTACCCAAGTCTTTTTGAATCAAATATGGTCCTTCCCAACTAGGGCGTAACTTCCCTTCACGAGAATTGTGCTCTGTGACCTCTACCTTTCACAAGACCCAGTCTCCTTGGCGTAAGTCCTTGGGTCTAACTTTGTTGTTGTAGTACTTCTCCACTCTCCTATGGTAATGGGCAACACAGATTTGGGACAGATCCCTAACTTCTTCCAAAAGATCCAGATTCTCCCTTAAAGGTTGTTCATTGGAGTTGACATTAAAGTAGTTTGTTTTGTAATTTGGTATCTTAACTTCAACTGGAACCATAGCTTCTAAGCCATATGTTAAGTTGAATGGAGTTTCTCCTGTTGGAGTCTTGTGCGTTGTTTTGTACACCCACAAAGTGTATGGCAACTCTTCTGTCCAAGTTCTTTTTGCAGACCCTACCTTCTTCTTTAAACTCTCCAAGATAGCCTTATTTGCTACTGATAAGCTAATTCCACTCTAGCAAGTGTACTAGTCAGTTCAAGTAATATAATGATGAAAATAGAGTATCGTCCCACAGAGACTGTAGCTTAACTAAGTACCAAAATTAACTAATTCTAATTTTATTTGAACAATTGAAATTAAATGATTTGACTAAACTAAATAACTAAAGTAATTAACGAAAAACTAAATTGACTTTAAGTAACACCAAGAGTTAAAATTCTAAGGCATCCGATTTCACCATAATTAACTAATATAGAATTTAGACTAATATACTTCTAAGGTATTTATTATTTATGTGACAGCAAGATTTCCTATCCTATTTGATATACTTTCTTAAGTTATACCAAACTTATCTTCACCTATTAACCCACTATATCTCTATGTGAATTTAAATAGATAAATATGCATTATGTTCTATGAAATTCCCTAGTTTACATAGAAAATTAAGTCCACTTATCACTAATGCTGCACAAATCACGTTGGTCCATCTCTAGCTTTCATTCAATTCATGGTATATATTACTAGAGGCTATTGCATAAAATCTCTTCTTGGTCTCAATTATGCTCTCCAAATCAATTTTAATGGTGACTAATCATTAAAAAGCATTAAGAACAATAATATATACTCTACATAAAATAATAAACCTTAAAAGTATAAAAATCATAAAATTCTATATTAAATTGATTAGGCAAATCAGTTCATAATTAAAGAAAAGAGAATCAACAATCTCATGATGAATATACAAGTATCAAACATCATAAAATAAAATTTAAGGACAAGCAAAATCAGTTTGACGATATAAAATCTCAAGCCTTAATCTTCTTTCATTGTTGAATTCCTTGTAGTCGTCTCTCTTGATCTCCTCTCAAAAGTGTTAAAACTAATTTTTGAATGGGTATTTATAGAGTTTAAGAAACCCTATTAGAAGAGAAGTAGGACCCAGAAATTTAGGAAATTGGGATTTTTGGACACTGAACGCATAGTGCCAACACCCTTAATTACGTATTGACACAAAACAGAAAACAGAAACTGTAGCTCTAGACGTGTAACGCATAATATCGACACCTCAATTATGTGTCGACACCACACTCGTGTTGGGTTTCTAGCCTTGTTTTGCAATTTCTTCAATGGTAATCAGATCTGATCCTCCAGGTTTTGTATGATGAGCACTAAGATCTCGAAACTTAAGATTCATTTATTTAGGTCCCAAAGAAGTCTCTTTCTTCTTGCAGTTCAGTTCCTCAACTTCCAAAAGATGTTCAATTAATTTCAAAAACTCCTATTATTATGCATTCAAGTCCTTTTCTGCACAAAGAATGAAACCCATATAAAATCTCATAAAATTCTTCCAAATATTAATAATGTCAAGGCAAAAATTCAACATTAATATGTATATAAATTCGACTCATCAAATTCCCCCAAACTTAAGTTTTGCTAGTCTTCGAGCAAAATAAAATGACAAAAATAAAACCTAACTCACTTTCATAGGAATCACGATTGCACTTAGCATGTGCAACAAGCCTTTAAACCCCTAGGTCACTCTAGTGGATGAGTTGTGTCTCGTGAGGGTTTTCAGTGGATCTACCCACAAAATCCTAATGCAAGAATGCAACTACATGATATGCATACAAAGAAAATTTAGGAATTAAAATTCAATTAGATACAAAGTCTCAAATATTCAAGAGTTTCAAATACTCTCTTAACTTCAAATACTCCATCATATTCTTCACACCACTTATCAAAAGATTTAGCTCATGAGCACTTAGTGTGTGTGTGGAAATTCATAATGAGAAGTTTTTGAATTTAGACCTTCACATTTTAGCACTTATTTTTTTTTTCTCTTTTTTTTTTCTTAGGCCATACACATATTTTTCCCAAAGCTATCACTTGCCTTTTGACGTGAATGCTAACATTTGTGATGAAAGCACCCAGTTACTTAACAAGTCATGAACTTAAGGTGCTTTGCATATTTTAAGTCACTGTTTGACATGAAAGCTGACATGGGTCTCATGCCTAACCCCAGTTACTAAGCAACTAGAAATATTGGAGTAGAATTTAATAACTCTTTTGTATTGGCTTCTTTTTCTCTTTCTTTCTTTCTTTTTTTTTTTTTTTCTTTATAGGCTTTTTAGGTGCTACTAAGCCTTCCTTCTAAACTTCTCATTACAAACTTGTACTCAATTGAAGTACAATACTCATGAACTTAAACCTCATCACAATGGTGTTATTTTTCAGATTTTGTATTTTTCTAATAGGGCACTCATGAATTTCTAACCCTTGAGTATTTAAATCTTTGCTACTAAATGATCAAATTCCTTAAAAAAAAAAATCTATTTTGTAAAGAGAAGAAAAACAGAAAAGAAAAGAAAAAAATTGGTATGCAAACAACATGAATATGATCTAATGCAAGTATGAGCATCAAAATATATCTCCCTCCCCCAAACTTAAATCAAACATTGTCCTCAATGTTAAAAGAATAAGTAAAGGAGAAAGGAAACTTCCTAGATTTTTATGCACTTGAATATACAAAGTTGATCTTGACTCTTGAATTTTCCTCAAACTATGCACTAATCTGAAACCAGAAAAAGTAAAATAAATCAGTAATAATAAAACGAAACTAAAGAAAAATAAAATGGAAAAAAAATTTAATGCTTGGGTTGCCTCCCAAGAAGCGCTTAATTTATAGTCATTAGCTTGACTATCTCAAATCATTATCCAAGATTGCATAATTCGGTGGTGGTCTTGTGTTTGTTGCATCCACCATTCTCTTGGTAAAGTTGCGCATATTCATAGATTTCATGTCGATTTGGAGGCTCTTCATTACCCAAATTGGGTTTTTAAGGATTTTTAAATTTTGGCCTTCTTGATTTTTGATTTGGTGGAGATGCTTTTGAAGAATGTCCTTCCTTAATGGCCTCATCTTTGACCTTGGTTCCTTGTTGTTGCACAATAAAATTCTCATGTGGATTTTTAGGTACTTTTTCTTGCATAACCTTATTAACCATCTTGTCACTAGCTGCAAAACACTCTTCAATATCATTAGAAGGATATTTTATAGCTTCAAAAACATTAAAGATAACCTGTTCATTCTGCACTCTAAGAACCAATTTTCCTTCTTGAACATCTATTAATGCTCTACTAGTTGCAAGAAAAGGACGACCTAAAATAAAAGGGACCTCGTAGTCCTCTTCCATATCCAACACTATGAAATCAATAGGAAATATAAACTTATCTACTTTTACCAAAACATCTTCAACTATACCCCTTGGATATTTGATAGAGCGATCTGCAAGTTGAAGGGATACATTGGTTGCTTTTGGCTTTCCAAGTCCTAATTTCCTAAAAACAGAAAAAGGCATCAAGTTAATACTTGCTCCCAAATCACATAAAACTTTATCAAAATGATGATTTCCAATAGTGCAAGGAATGGTGAAACTCCCTGGATCTTTTAATTTACGAGGAAGCTTATTTTGTAAAATTGCTGAACATTCCTCATTTAAAGTCACTGTTGCAAAATCTTCCAATTTCCTCTTATTTGTCAAGATGGTCTTCAAGAATTTTGCATAATTTGGTATCTGAGCTATTGCATCTACAAAAGGAATGTTAATGTGCAATTTCTTAAGCATGTTAAAAAATTTACCAAATTCTTTATTATATTGCTGCTACTTCAATCTCTGGGGAAAAGGAATAGGAGGCACATATGGCTTGATTTCCTTGGGTTTGGTTGGTTCTTGAACTTCTTCTTTGCCATGAATTTCTTTCTCTTTCTCTTTTGATTCACTTATCATGTCTTGCTCTTTTTGAATTTGTTTCCCACATCTCAAAGTTATGGCATTTACCTGTTCCTTGGGATTTATCTCTGTATTGCTGGGTAGAGCTCCTTGATTTCTTCTAGAAATGATATTTGCCAATTGACCTACCTGAACCTCTAAATTCTAAATTGATGCACCTTGGTTCTGGACTGCAGCTTCCAAGCTCTTAGTTGCTGCTTCTTGACTTTGAAACCTTGATTCACTAACAGTAATGAACTTTTTTAGCAAGTCCTCCAAATCTGATTTTTTTTTCAGGTGGTTGCTGAAATCTTGGAGGTTGCTTTACTACATTCTAATTGTTGCTCCATGAAAAATTTGGATGATTTTTCCAACTAGGATTGTAAGTGTTGGAGTATGGATTATTTTGCTGCTTATTAAAACCAACAAAATTAGCATGTTTAGATGAAGAAATAAAATAATTACCTTCTAGACATTCAGAACTAGGATGTGCTCCCCCACACAAGTCACAATTAATGCTTGTGGCTTGTATAGTTGAGACATTCATCCTAGTTAACTTTTGGTTTAAAGCCTCAATTTGTGCTGTCAAAGCAGTAAAGGCATCAACCCCATGAATTCCAGCATTTTTCTTAATGTGTGATCTTTCCGAACCCCATTGATAACTATTTGAAGCCATCTCCTCTATGAGGTTATAACCCTCATCAACATTTTTACTCATTAATGATCCTCCAACAGCTGCGTCAATCATGGTACGATTATTAGGAAATAAACCATTATAAAAAGTGTGTACCTGTAACCATATAGGTAAACCATGATGTGGACACTTCCTAAGTAGGTCTTTGTATCTCTCCCATGCCTCATATAATGACTCCATATCCAGCTGCACAAAAGTGGCAATATTGTTACGCATCTTAGTAGTTTTAGCAGGAGGGAAAAACTTAAAAATTTTTGAGCCATCATATCCCATGTGGTGATCGACCCAACAGGTAAAGAATTTAACCAATTCTTTGCCTTGTCTCGCAGAGAGAATGGAAAAAGCCTTAGTTTAACAGCATCATCAGAAACTCCATTATATTTAAAAGTGTCACAAATTTCTAAAAAGTTAGCAATATGAGCATTAGAATCATCACTTGGCAACCCACAAAATTGCACAGATTGTTGAATCATTTGAATTGTTGCTAGCTTAATTTCAAAATTATTTGCTTGGATAGCTGGTCTCCTTATGCTTGAAACAGTCCCTTCAATTGAAGGTGAAGCATATTCCTTCAATGTTTGAATGGCTTGATTTGCTATTGGATCTTCATCCATGATGTCAATTGGCTTAACAATGAGTGCTGTCCTTTGGTTTTTCAATTGATGAAAAGTGCACTCAATCTCAAGATCAAAACATACAAGTTCTGTATTTTTAGAACGAATCATGCACTAACTTGCACACCTGCTAAATAATAAAAAAAATCAAAATTAAAACTAGAATTAATCTGCTTGATATTCATTAGAATCAATACAGTCTCCGGCAACGGCGCCAAAAACTTGATGAGCTAATTCCACTCTAGCAAGTGTACTAGTCAGTTCAAGTAATATAATGATGAAAATATAGTATCGTCCCACAAAAACTGTAGCCTAACTAAGTACCGAAATTAACTAATTCTAATTTTATTTGAATAATTGAAATTAAATGATTTGACTAAACTAAATAACTAAACTAATTAACAAAAAAACTAAATTGACTTTAAGTAACAACAAGAGTTAAAATTCTAAGGCATCTGATTTCGCCATAATCAACTAATATAGAATTTAGACTAATATACTTCCAAGGTATTTATTATTTATGTGACAGCGAGATTTCCTATCCTATTTGATATACTTTCTCAAGTTATACCAAACCTATCTTCACCTATTAACCCACTATATCTCTATGTGAATTTAAATAGATAAAAATGCATTATGTTCTGTGAAATTCCCTAGTTTACGTAAAAAATTAAGTTCACTTATCACTAATGTTGCACAAATCACGTTAGTCTATCTCTGGCTTTCGTTCAATTCATGGTATATATTACTAGAAGCTATTGCATAAAATCTCCTCTTGATCTCAATTATGCTCTCCAAATCAGTTTTAATGGTGGCCAATCATTAAAAAGCATTAAGAACAATATTATATACTCTACATAAAATAATAAATCTTAGAAGTATAAAAATCATAAAACTCTAAATTAAATTGATCAGGCTGCATTGTAGCCTTAGATGGAAAATCAGTTCATAATTAAAGAAAAGAGAATCAACAATCTCATGATGAATATACGAGTATTAAACATCATAAAATAAAATTCAAAGACAAACAAAATCAAATTGACGATATAAAATCTCAAGTCTTTATCTCCTTTCGTTGTTGAATTCTTTGTAGCCATCTCTCTTGGTCTCCTCTCAAAAGCTCTAAAATTGATTTTTGAATGGGTATTTATAGAGTTTAAGAAACCCAATTATAAGAGAAGTAGGACTCAGAAAAATAGGAAATTGGGATTTTTGGACGCTGAACGCATGGTGCCAACACCCTTAATTATGTGTCGACACAGAATAGAAAACAGAATATGTTATTCTGGACGCGTAACGCATAGTATCAACACACTGATTATGTGTCGACACCACACCTGTGTCGGGTTTATGGCCTCATTCTGCAATTTCTTCAATGATAAAATGTCAGATCTGATCCTCCAGGTTTTGCATGATGAGCATTGAGATCTCGAAACTTAAGATTCATTCATTTAGGTCCCAAAGAAGTCCCTTTCTTCTTGCAGTTCAGTCTCTCAACTTCCAGAAGATATTCAATTAATTCCAAAAACTCCTATTATTATGCATCCAAGTCCTTTTTTGCACAAAAAATGAAACCCATGTAAAATCTCATAAAATTCTTCCAAATATTAATAATGTCAAGGCAAAAATTCAACATTAATATGTATATAAATTCAGCTCATCAGCTATCTCTGCCTGTCCATTAGACTCTAGATAAGCTACAGAAGCAAACCTCTGCTTAATTTGCTGTAAACTCAAACCTTCTGTCTCTAGTTGTGCTCTGACCGAAAACCTCCTCTCTACCTTTTCTGTTTGGCAGAAATCTTTGAAGGCTTCACTTGCAAATTGTGTTCCATTATCTGTAACCAGAACCCTCGGCATCCTAAACCGGCACATAATGTGTTTTTTGATGAACTCTTCTTCCTTTTGTTCTATTATTTGAGCTACTGGTCCTACCTCAATCCACTTAGTAAAGTAGTCTATAGCCACAATAAGGAACGTTTTCCTTCCCTTAGCCTTGGGGAAAGGACCAAGGTTGTTCATCCCCCATTGACCAAAAGGCCATGAGGCTACTATCATGTGCAAAGGGTTAGCAGGTTGATGCTAGACATGGGCAAACCTCTGACATCTATCACACTTCTTGACATATGCTTTAGCATTAGCTTTCAGTGTAGGCCAAAAATAGCCTTGGTGGAGGATTTTACATGCTAGAGAATCTGTCGCCATATTGCTAGAGCAAAGTCCTTCGTGTACCTCTTCCAACAGTATCTGTGCTTCTATAGGCCCTAAACACTTCAATAAAAGATGTGTGTAAAACCTACGATAAAGTTGCCCATCAAAAATTGTGTACCAAGCAGCTTCTTTATGCAATCCTTTAGCTTCTTTTTCATCTTCTGGTAAGATTCCACTTTTAAGGAAAGTGAGAATTGGATCTACCCAACTTTGCTCCTCCTGTGTTGGCAAAGCATTTTCCATCTCCATACTAGGTGAAGAAAGTGTCCCTATATAAACTTCCACTCTAGACACACCTAGCCCTATGCTTGCCAACTTTGCCATGGCATTGGCTTTAAGGTTCTCTGACCTTCTTACTTGGCTCAACTCATATCCCTAGAAGGATAGTAAAAATTGCATAGTCAAAGACAAATATTGAGCCATTACCTGCTCTGTTGTAATGAAGTCACCACTGACTTGATTCACTATAAGTTGTGAATCACTATAAATCCTTAAGTACTCCACTCTTGCTGCCTTAGCAAGTCTCAATCCCTCAAGAAGTGCCTTGTGCTTTGCACGGCTGTTCGACGCCTCAGAATTAAATTTTAATGCACATTCAAAAGTTTCTCCCTCTGGAGAGATTAAGATTATTCCTGCTCCACTTCCTACTGCATTAGAAGACCCATCAACATATAGGTTCCACACAAGGTTAGAAGGTAGGTTTTTTGTTGGTTTCTTCGATTCTGGAGCTTTCCTCTTAGATGGTACATCTATGGGTGGTGCCTGCATTACAGCCTTCTCCTCCTTACTTAGCTCTGCTATGAAACCTGCCTGTACTTATGCTTTCATTTCTTTCCGTGGCTGAAACTCTAGTTCAAACTCTGTGAGCTCAATACTCCACCTTACAAGTCTCCCCGCTAAATCTAGTTTCTACAAGATTTGCTGTAACGGGTAATTAGTCAAAACAACTATCGTATGGCCAAGGAAGTAGTACCTGAGACGTTTAGCAGAGATAATTACAGCATAGGCCAACTTCTCCAAAGGCTTGTATCTTGTCTCAGCCCCTTGCAACACTTTGCCGACATAATGCACAGGCTCTTGCTTGTTTCCATCTTCCCTAACTAATGCAACACTAATTGCCTCGATACTCATAGCAATATACAGGTATAATTTCTCACCTAGAATTGTCCTGCTCATCAATGGTGGAGATGATTAGTATGCTTTTAACTGATCGAATGCTTTTTGACAATCAGAGGTCCACTTAAAATTTTTATTGCCACATAAAATTTTAAAAATAGGTAGGCACCATTCTGTAAATTTTGATATGAACTTGCTCAATGCAACTACCCTTCCCATTAGCTTCTGAACTTCCTTTATTGAGGATGGAGGTTTCATCCCCAACACTGCATGAATCTTCTTTGGATTGACTTCAATCCCCCTGCTTGTCAACATGAATCTTAAGAATTTCCCAGCCTTAGCTCCAAAAGTTCATTTTGTAGGATTCAGCTTCATGTTATGGATTTTAAGTACCTCGAAGACTTGTTTCAGGTCTTCAATGTGTTGGTCTAAGCTTTTGCTTTTCACCAAAATATCATCCACATAAACTTCAACACACTTACCTTTTAGATATACAATATCTTATTAACAAACCTTTGACAGGTGGCTCTTGCATTTTTTAGACAGAAGGGCATGACAACATAACAATAGATACCACCTACTGTTATGAACGCAGTTTTATCCTTATCCTCCTTTGTTATAGGAATTTGGTTATGCCCAGAGTATGCATCACATAAACTCAAAACCACATAACCAAAGGAATTATCAACTAGTTCATCAATATTTGGCAAAGGATAATTGTCTTTGGGACATACGTTGTTTAAGTCTGTAAAGTCCACACACATTCGCCACTTTCCATTGGCCTTTTTCACCATCACCACATTTGATAACCATTTAGAAAAAGTAATCTCTTGAATAAATCCTGCCTCTTTAAGCTTTGCTACCTCTTCTTCAATAGTTGCAGTCTTTTTAGCCTCGAAGTGTCGCACTTTCTGTTTAACAGGAACAGCATCCGAGTTAACTCCAAGCCTATGGCATGTAATCTTTGGATCGATACTTGGCATATCTGCTGGACACCATGCAAAAATGTCTTTATGCTCTCTTAAGCAATTTTTCAATCGTGCTATAAAGCTTTGATCCATGTTTACACCAATGTTGACTATACGCTTAGGCCTCTTCTCATCAAGAACCACAGGTTTTACTTGGTCAATTGGCTCAGTTTGACATTCCTTCAATTCCTCCCTCATATCTAGGCTATCTACTGTCAGAGTTTTTTCCTTGACAATATCTCCAAAAGCCACCAGATCCCAATGTTTTGACTTATACTTTTTCTTAGTCACTTGGTTAGGTTCTAAAGTTTGCACTTGGTCTTGAGCTTGTGGTGTTCGCTCCACTACTTCAATAAGCTTCCCTCTTGCCATTCCAACTCCATTTGGCGTAGGGAACTTTATCATCATTGCTTGTGTGGAGACCACCGCTTGTAAGGAGTTAAGCCCAGGACGTCCCAAAATTGCATTAAAAAAGGAAGGGACATCAATAACAAAGAAATATAAGGTAACAATAGCCACACAAGGGGTAACACCAACATGAATAGGGAGAGAGATAATACATATTACAAGGACGGACTTTCTAGAAAAGCCTACCAACGAAAAATCACAAGGTCTCATCAATTGTGGAGATACTCCTAGCTTTTTGAATGCTCCATAACACATCACATCTCTGCAACTCCTTGTGTCCACCAAAACACACTTCATTACCTTGCCTTTTCGTAGATTTCGATCTTCCACCACTATTTTAATCATTAGTGGATCATGTGGGAACACCTCCCAATGAAAGTGATGGTTTGAGTTGAAGGTTAGCTTTCATGGCTTCCTTTGACTACTAAAGCCATAGATGCTAGAGTTATTGAAGGTGAGACTGTTATAACATTAATTACCCCCACAACATCTAGAGGTTCCTTCTCTTTATGTCTACTAGCTTCCCTATTGTCTTGCAACCTTTCCATTCTCCTTGCTCCCCTCTGGCTTTCTAGATGCTCGATAAATTGCCTCAATGCTCCCCTACGAATTAATTGTTCAATTTCCATTCTAAGCTGCTTACAATCCTCTGTACCATGACCATGGGTCCCATGAAATGCACAGTGATGAGTCTTATCACGCTTGTTACCATTACTACGAAGCTTTTCAGGCCAATTGAGGTGTTCTCTTTCCTTCGCCACTGCAAGTATATGCACCATTGAGGTGTTTAAAGGTGTGAATGTGGTATACACCCTTGGCGCCTCTTGCAATGTAGAGCGATAACTCTTGAGATTTCTACCAATTCCTCACTTTCCTCCTCTGACATCAACTATGTCATTTAATCTGTCAAACCTTCACTTTTTATTTCCTGCTACAACTGAATTAGGTTCGAAAGACTCACCACCTTTCTTGGCTGCAGCACGTTCTTCAGCTCAAATATAGCCTTCTGACCTATGAAGTATGTCTTTAAGGCTCTTTGGTTTTTATCTGTTTAGAGAGTGCAAGAAATCACAATCTTTCAAGCCATTCATCAAGGCATGCATTGCCACTTTTTCATCCAAATTATCCACCTACAGAGATTCATTATAGAAACGAGCAATGTAGGCCTTTAAACTTTCATTAGTCTTCTGCTTGATACTCATTATATGGTGGTTAGTCTTCTTTGGGACTTTGCTAACAGTAAAATGCTCAATAAAACATCTTTCTAATTGCTCAAAAGAGTTAATAAACTTAGCTTTCAATTTAAAGTACCAGGTTTGAGCTACTTTCTTTTGTGTAGAAGGAAACACTCTGCACAATAATGCATCAGACGCTCTGTAAATCATCATTGCTAGCTTGTAACTCCGCACATGCTCTATCGAGTCTTGTGTTCCATCATACTATGTCAACTGAGGTGGCTTGAATGATAGAGGCATGGGTTCTTTAATTATCTCATCAGATAATGGATCACCTATTGAGGCTATTTGTGGAGCATCTGTTACTTGTTGCTGTGTCATGTGCAACTCTGCTATCTGTTGGCACAAAGTTTCCATGTCCTTTTGTAAAGTCTCATTTCGCTCCTTAAGGGAGTCTTGCATGCGACTTAATTGCACCTTACAATTAGTTATCACTATTTTATCCTCCAAACTAGCCTGTGTAGGTTCATCACCCCTAAAGTGATGCTGGGCTTGGACTCTGCTTGCTGACTCGAGAGTATTTACACTCGTAGAGCCTCGGGTCCAATTGTGCGGTACATTTGCCAACCTGTGAGGACGGAAGTTCCAATGTGGGACTGAAAAAGCCAAGGTAGGTTCAAGAGTGTTGATATTGTCTGCACTTGTCGACCATTGTGATGGGACATAGTTAGGATTGTTCTCCTATGTTTCCACATTTGAACCTTCTCTTTGCTCCAAGGGGAACAAAAGATCCTGTGATCGAGGGGTGCACCACTGATTTCCGAACATTTGTGATGGAGAATACCTCCTTGGTGGTACACGAGCTCGATGTGCATGAATCGGTGGCAAACGTAATTGGCCATGGTTTTCTATTAGAAGTGTCACCGCTTGCTCCATTGCATGTACACTTCTCTCCATTTGTGCCATATTCTGGGTGAGGTGTTGAATTTGATCCTCTACTGTATTTCCATGCTTAGAAGGACTTGATCTCGGGGCTTGCCAAGTAGAATTTCATGAAGATGAAGATGGGGTTGTAATGGACCTTGCACCATAACGAGTCCACCGATTACCGGCCATTGCTTAATTGTTATGGTTCACCGTGAGCAACAATCGGCCCCACGGTGGGTGCCATATGTTAACACTAAAAAATAATTTAAAGGACCCAATCAATTAGAGTCACCAGGATTTCATTAATGGAAGAAGAAATATAGAGTTTGAGATTCAGTCTCTGTTCCTCTTTTGTTATTCCCTGAGGTCCTTTTAATCTCTGCCTAGAGATTTTTCCCAAATCCACATCTAACAAACCCTATCTACAATTTAAATTTAAAATCATAGATAATCTCTAGGAAATCATGTGACCTTGATTTTTCTCCAATTTGGTATTAGTACCTGGGGACCATACCTCAATGAGGGTAGGAAGCATACTTGAAGGACAACAATAATCATTATTGGCTAATAACACTACGTCTGCTAGAGCTCTCATCTTACGACGACTTAGCATCTTGGCTGTGGAGGTTGACCAATCCTAGAAGCCACTTAGGAATTGTACCTTGCCCAAATGATCAATGGATTGACATGCTCCTCGACCAATCAACTCCATTACGACCACTGTTGGTGTTGCATGTTCAGCCACATGAATGAAGGGAAGCACCAAGGAAGGGAAAGATCCAGTGTGGCTTGCAGTTGATGAAGCTTCCCCTTCTGGGGTCACATATTCACAAAGCTTGGGCATCTCCAATGCGGGTAGGTGTTCGATGGCATAGGGACCATTGGTTGACTTAAGCACCATAAGTTGAAGCTCTTTAGCCTCCGACGAAGAAGATGACCATATGCGAGTTGATGGGAAGTGTAAGAATTGTCCAGCTTCTTCAGGTTCTAACGAATCAGCAATCTAGTCACCTTTCTACACCGCAGCGGTAGAAATCATCTTGGAAGCAAGTCTTCAATTTGGAGCCATGTCTAAACAAAGTTATACATAAAAGGCCAAATTATTCATGTTAAGTTCATGAATTAAACAACAATGAGCATTTTGAAATAGATGCTTACTTGAATGGTACGTGATAGATGCACAACAAGAATTTGAAGTACCATGATAAATGTGCAAAAGTTGTAACAAATAAATCTAGCAAGAGTGCAAGTGAGATCTACAAAAAGAAAAGACAAAGTGGTGCATGCAGCAAGAATTTTGGGGCTAAGACTTGTTGAGTCTAAGAAAAAAATGTTGCTACATTTGTTGCCTATGAAAAGGACTTGATTGGGTCAAATCACAAATTAAGTGACTAAATCACAAAATTATAGAAAGTTGGAGGACAATAATAAAAAAATGGAAAAAGAAAAAGAAAAAGAAAAAAGGGGTTCAAGGATCATATTACAGTTTTGGCAAAAAAACTTTTTTTTTGTAACATTCTTGAAGAAAACCCGACACGGACAATTTCATGTGCATGTTCAGAGTGTTGACACTCTTTTTTACGTGTTGAGCTATAAAAGTGTAGCATTAAAAAAAGGGGGGGGCCTAATGGGAGCAGGTGGAGGCTTTCCGTTTATGCAATACCGTGCTTGATGTCATCGTCTATTTCAGGTCAAAAGTGCAACAAGACAGCAAAGATAAAAAGAAAAAAAAAAAAAAAACCTAGGCAGCCAACTGTCAAAGCAAAATTATAGCAATATGTGGACATAAAAAAAAAA